CCTGAGCTGCAGCTCAGGCCTCACACACAGGCAGGTGGAGCCTTCCCCAATCCCCTCCTTCCAAACACGGGTGTTTCTCTAAACCTCCAAACATCATCTAATGCAACGTGCATCCACTCAGCACTTCTTACAGCTTCTCAGCCAATAAAGGCACTGGTTACCAACCCACCGCCAGGTCTGTCCCACAGGGACCTGCTGCCTCCTGGGCTCTCCTGGAGCAGAGCCTGCACATCCTGCCATCAGCTCAGGGAAGCTGCCTCTAGAAACAAACATTTCACCTGTCTAGAAAACAATGTCACAGGGGGAAAAACTGAAAAGCTGACCAAACAAAGTATATCCCATCAGATTAACTCCCTGCGGCTGGAACACCTCACACAGACAACGTGACCTGAACTCAAACGAGGGGCTGATCATCACCCCAGGTCTGCAGGGAATCCCTCTGGGGTGGGTGGCTCTGGGGGACCCCAGGCTCAGAGGAGCTGCCTCCAGGGAGCAGCAAAGCCGAAACAAGAAGGTAAAACTCCGTATTTAAAAGTGTGCATTGTAAAGAAAAAGACCCACATGAAACACTCCATTGTTTTGACCCACCTCCAGCAGGTTTCCTCTCTTTGTTCCCATCAGTTTCAGTTTCTTTCTCTGAACACAACAGCACCTGGTCCTGCACTTACTACATTTAAATTTTGAAGACCTATCCCCTTCCAAAAACATAACTTTAGTATTAAATGCCTTTGCTTATGTGCAGAAACATCTTTCGAAGCAGCACCTCTGCAAAGCACAGGCAATAATGGAAATACCAACTGGAAGTCAGACATCAGCTCAGAAGGCAGAACACATTTCTCTGCAGTGAAAATGGGAGATTCTCCCACCACCCCAAAAGAGGGGCTGTTTGCTTTGATGGAGACAGGCTGTAAAACCTGCCCAGCTGCAGCCTGCCCAGCTCTGACCACAGCCCCGTACACACAACAGCACTCACTGTATAGGGAATATTAAAGGTAACATTTGCATAAACTTGGATTAAAATCTGAATTTTATCTTGAATGACACCACGGGAAGGATGTGCTGTAGTTTGCAAAGTCATGGAAGGGAAGAAGAAACATTTCTAAAACAAGCCATAAAATAAGGGCCAAGTCAGGCAAAATTTTCAGCAGGTGCTTCAAAAACTCAGAATCAAACATGTGCTAAAACAACAACAAAAAAAAGCCTTCCAAACCCTCCACCTCCTCTTATTAAATGATCTAAAACAGATGAATTGGGAAATTTTTAGAAGGGTCTTTTGTTTGTACAGTCCGAAGGCAGATTCCTGTGCTCACATACTGAAATTTTATTTCACTTAGGAAATAAAAAATATTTCCTAAGAAATATTTTTTAAAGCACCAACCTGACGTAGAAGTTCTGTCAACTTCAAACCCTGTTGTGAAGTAAGATCAGACTGAAATATTTCAGACTTCCTGACTCATGGAGTTACTGCCTTGGTAATCACAGCACTTGGGAACACCACGATAAATAGCAAAAAATCTCCATGCTGCATTTGCATGCTGAATGTTTCCATCTCGAATCACATCCAGGCCTTGGAAGTGTCTTTTTTCAGAAGAGACAAACTGAATTTTAGGGTTCTCACACATCAAGTGTTTATATGAGAGGGAGGGAACGATGCCATTGGGAATTCTCTGTCTCCTGCAGTTCTCTGTGCCTCGGTACTTTGTACCCCCTTCTTCCTGTCAAAGACTTGTGACAAATATCCAAAACTGCCCCTTGGCACTCTGACACTGAATGTCAGAATCCCAAGTAGCAGAAACGTATTTCTGAGTGATAAAAAGCTTAAAAACAAACTCCCCAACAACAAATAAAGACCGTAGAAACTGGTAACATTTAATAAAAAAATTAACAGTAGATAATAGCAAAACTGTTGTTTGACACAGAAGATTTCTGTTGAGTTTAAAAATACTGTCCCTTGATTGAGATAATAAAAAAATAATATTTCACAGCTATTTTCCCAGTATATTTGGAAAATGACAACATAATCACAACCTAAACTTCCAGTAATATTTTTTTTCTTTAAAAAAAAAAAAAAAGGACTTCTACATGAAGCAAATTACCATCTTCTGAGAAGCTGTGAGTATAGAAATCCTTCCCATGGCACTAAAAAAAAGCCACCGAATTGCATCTTGCAAATTGAACCTTCCAGCAGCTTAATTTGAAAGTGAGGCAGATAACTCTAATAAAAAATAAATTTATAGTCTGAGATGGAACTTCAAAATTAGTTCATTTAATCATATCACAGTCCCATTTTTATGAAGATGCAATCTGATTTCTGTCCGCTCCTCAGCGTGGCATTTATCTGTGCAATGCTCTCACCACTGATTTCCAAAGCACCCAGACACAAACAGAGCCAGAAGTGGATTCATTTCACATGTGGAGGATGAAAATGACCCAGCTGTAAAATTTGCTGCCTGACCATTCCTAGCACGGAGTGTGATGGGAAGGACCCTGTGCCTGTGTTGGGTGCATGACAAAAGGTGTGCAGTGCACTGCTGAGAAACAAAGTCAGGTTTGTCAAAATTATTTTTCCCACCATTGGCACAGTGAACAGAATTCACCCCCTGCAATTTCACTGAAGACAACAGACTCAAATGCTATAAATATTTAAAACACCTAAACACATACTACACATACCACATCAGCATTAAATTAAGAGGGAAAAAAAGTAATTTAAATTTTTAAAATATCAATAAATTAACACAGACAAAAAGAGAATTATTTGACACTAAAACCAAACTAATGAGGCAACACCAGAAGTGTCTGTACAGTGGATGAAACTTGAATGCATCAATTGGCTGCAACTCCTCTCCATCCTTATCACTTGGAGACTTCCAGACTCTGATTTTCACCTCTTACAGGAAATGTCTGAGCTGAGGGAGACTTGGAGATGAGTAAGGCAACTGAAAACAGCCTGGCTGTCAGGAATGCTAGAACTGAACCTTTGCTGCAAAGCAGCAACAGCTGCAGGAATGCATCTGCATCTGGATCAGCCACCACGCTCCAAGTGCAATCCCAGGCTCAGGGCTGAAGGAGCATCTGCTTCAGCTCCAGTTAAATCTCTATGCCATGATTTAGACCCCTTACCAGTTTCAAAAACTTTCAAAATTTTCAAAAACTAGCACACAATGCTCCTATTTAAACCTTCTATTTAGCCATAAAAAAGCCTAAAAGTAACAATCTTTGCTTTGCAGCTTCCACTTAAACCTGAAACTGCCATTTCTAGGGTTTTAGGCCCCAGCAGATTCTTCTCTTCTATTAAGTTCAATCAAATGCTATTTCAGTGATACACTGCATCATTTCAAAGACTTGGAAATGTTAGATAAGGTGAAGAGTCAGAGAAAGGCTACAGGAGTTTACCTGAGAGGCTGTTCCAAAAATACCACACACACACTTTGATATTAGTGACTAAAGCCCTTGAATTGTTCCCCAAGCCCACCTTTGCCATCACACCCACAGAGCACCCGAGACAATCAGCCAGAGATGTGCAGGAGCTTTTTACCCCACTTCTTCTCCAAGTGAGTCACTCCAGCCCTGTGCTGCCCCACGGCTGGCTGTGTCTAACCAAAATTCCCACTGAAGGGCTGTGCCAAGCAAAGCCCCCCAGGCGTGTCTGCGAGGACCCAGCACAAGCTCCTCTCTGCTCCTTACTACAGAGCAAGAAATGGTGGCGTGAAAGCAGCAGGGTTTAGACAACCTGTGCTTCTAAAATTTCAGATGAACTGAAGAGGATGTTTATCTTGAGAGGTTTGGACTGACTATGGATGAAATAGCTGGAAGCTGATCAAGATGCCATTTAAACACTTTGCCCCAGGGCCCTCCAACAGAAGGAGGCAGCAGCAGCAGGGGGCTCTGCCCCATCCTCCCAGAACAGGTACACACACATCCAGGAGAGGAACTCGAGTGTACCAGCAGTGAGTGCTGACAAATACATGCCATGCCAGGAATGCTTCATCCTGCTGCTCTCTCTCTCCTTCCCCATTTCCTCACTGGCAGCCCCACGAGTGCACTGGAGCAAATGTGGATGGGCAGCAGGGCTGGGCTGTAGCAATCCTGGCATGTGATGGGGCAGAGAACAAGCTGCTATCCTCCAGGGCAAGGCATAGAGAGGAGAGGCCAGGGCTCACAGCACAGCAGAGAGGAGGGGGGAGTTTGCAGGAGGGACAGGGCAGAGTATTAAAAATATGATCTTGATCTAGAACAACACAGACTTGAAACGATTTAACAAAAACAAAGCCTTCCCTTTGGCCAAGAGAATTACCCCAATTCTAAAAATATCACATTATTTTCCCTATCTTTTTTTCATTCCCACTGTGACTAAGAGCACACCAGCTGTACCAGAGGAGCTCAGGGAATTCCCCACTCAGCAGCCCAAGGCAGTGACGGGAAGCACAAGGAGGGGCACAGAGGGCAGATGGTCAGGGGCACAACCTGCTCTCAGAGCAGGAGAGACAGAGGGACAGCCCTGCGCCAGGGACAGGGTGACACTGCAATCCACCACTACAGGAATACTTGGTTCACTTTCCAAAATGGCATAGTAAAAAGACAAGGATATTCTTTAGGAAAACCTCAACAATTTGAGGGCCGTTCTGCCTTCTTAACAGCATGACAGTACTCAAAACATTTAATCTAGGCTAGCTTGAACAAGCTGTGGTCAATGAGATTTGGTTCCTCAGATATTGCCTTTGTCTGACCAGTTAGATATGCTTTTGTCAACAGGATTTAGCTCCTGCTATATTTGAACCATCTTTAATCCCATGAAGGCTAAAGAAAAATGTCTCTGATTTAGCTCTGTGCACTTATGAATAACTCAAATACTACAGTTAAATTTACAACATAGTTGCCTTAGCTGTTTAGAAGACAATTGTTTTCTTTCCTTTCCCCTTAAGTTCCAGTATGTAAAATATCAGAAGAATTTAGATTAAAAAAAAAAAAAAAAAAAAGAGGGGACATGTTATTTTTAAAGTTGTTCTTGAGAAAATTTCCACATACAAACCCGCGGCATTTCTCCACTGGTTTGAGAACAATTTTCACATGTTGGCATCATCCTTGAGTGGCTGCCACAACTCTGGTATCATAAAGCAACACGTATTTTCTCTTAGCTTATCAAAACACATTTTATTTAACTGCTAAATTTGGTCTGATCCAAGTTTTTCTTCTTACTTCACAGCAAACAGGAAAACGCAGATGCCGCACTCAGATCCAAACATGCATCCTACCAGGGAAACGGGGCACGGAAGCCAGATCAGCCCTAGGAGTACGACTGCCCAGACCACACCGCTGCACTCACGGCTCATTAACAGAGTTCACACTGAAATGTTCACATTGTTCACTCCTGTTCTACAAGTCCTGTCTAGGTAGCACTGAAAAACAAATTGTTTGGCCCCTTCTGTTCTGACGCTGGAACATTGTGTCAATATACTTTGGCATATATTAAAAAAATCCCTGTAATATACCATAGACTGTGACATTTCCACTTCAGATCTATCATTTACATGTGAAGCACGAATCTCCAAAGAACCCAGTAAAGCTGTAAGAAAGACTACATTTTGCCGAAGCTCTCAGACACCCACTCCATTCAGTCACACCAGCTGGAGAGGTAAGTGTCAAGATACAGCTTTATTCTTTAAAATGAATGTGGAGGTGAAACTCCACAGCCTCCTCCACAGCAACCATTTTTTAAAGTGAAACCACAACGATATGTGCTCCTGATCCTTCTATGTCAGCAGCATTTCTCAGAAACCTTTTTGCAAATCTGGGTATCTTAAAATCATATCTAAGTTATTTTGCAATCTACGCAATTGTCCCTGCACTTCCCAGTCCAGCTGACAGGCGTCCTAGACATGACATCCATTGGAAGATCTTTTGCTCCTAGAGGTAGAGGAGTCCTTAGCTACCCTCTGTCTAGCACACGAGGCACAGATGGCCCCCGAGAGACGCTTCAGCCCCTTCTGAAAGACACTGTTGGAGAGACTGTAAATGACACAGTTGCAGAAACTGTTGCTAATGGCAAGCCAAGTGGTCAAGAAGGACGCCACGCGGTTACTGTAGACATTGGAGCTCTCCAGCAGGAAATAGATGATGTAGGGCAACCAGAGGATGTAGAAGACACTGGTGATGCGGAAGAGGACCATGGCATAGCGCTTGTCCGGGCAGGGCTGGGCCTCCCCAGCCTCCCCGTCCTGCGAGCTGAAGCGCACGCGCCGCTCGTTGATCTCCTTGGTGTGCTGCTGGCAGATGCGGAAGATGTTGAAGTAGGTGAAGCAAACGATGAAGGCGGCCGGGGCGTAGAGCATCACCACAATGAAGAGGGTGAAATAGGGATCGGTGTTCCAGGAATTGGCGCACCACTGGAACACATCCCCGTGATATCCAGGCTTTCCCCAGTGAAAGGAGGGTAAGAAGACCAGGCAGGAGTAGAGCCAAATGGTCAATATGCAGATCCGCAGCCTCCACGGGGTAACCAGCGTGTTGTAGGTCAGGGGCTTCGTGATGGCAATGTATCTGTCAATGCTGATGCAGGCCAGGGAGGCCATGGAGACGCTCTTCAGCACTGATACCACATAACCAAAGATTTGGCAAACCAAGGACTCACTTAAAACAATAGGATAGTGCAGCAGAGACAAAGAAGGCACCAGACAGCTCACGCCCACCAGGAGGTCAGCATACGCCATAGTCTGGATGAAGTAGCTGGTGGTGTGGTGGTTCAGCAGAGGTGCACAGTGAAAGACAAATATAACAATAATGTTGCCCGAAATAATCAGCACCATGAGGAACACAATAATAACCACTTCCAGGAGGCAAAAATTGATGGTCTCCAAATAGCTAATGGCCAGGAGACAGAAGGGCCGGCCACTCTGGTTGCCAACCAAAGAGGAGTTCATCTTGAGCACTGCAGTGATCTCTCTACTTCATGCTCCTGCCTGCTGCCTGCAGCCACTCCAGGCAGCTGCTGTCATTGCGGCTGGTGCTGTGTGTGCAGCAATGTCAAAACCGGAGCTCCAGTCCCCAGGGCTGCTCCAGATGCTGCTGCTGTGCATTGTCTGCAGCACAATTCCCCTTTAAATCCGGCTCCCCGCCGCTGCCGCTGCACCGGGACCCAGCGGCAGGCATGTCAGCAACTTCCCCGGCGCACCGGAGAGGGCTGATACTGATGCCCTCCTGGGTGGGCTGCCGCGCCGAGGAGGGATGAGGGGCTGGGGGAAGAGGGAGAGGAACCTCCACCGAGTCAGGACGAGAGTCCTCCCAAAGGCTGACAGAGAGAAGGGGAAAGTGTTTTACAGAACCGCCTCTCCCCCGCGCTGCCACCTCCGCCGCTCCCCTCCTTCCCCACGCCCTGCTCAGCGCTCCCCGTCGGCCCCGGCTCCAGCCCCGCTCCCTCCCCACGCCCCGCCGGCGGCAGCGGGAGGCGATGCCGCCTCCCCGGAGCCCCGGCAGCCGGGCGGGGGGATGCGCGGCGGGGAGGGCGGGGGTCCAGCCCTTCTCCGCTGGCTCCATTTTGCACGGCGCTTTTGTTCGCCGCCTCTCCCGGCCCCGCCGT